CACCATTCTGTTTAATGTTACTGATCTGCCTTTAGGTCAGTTACATACTCATATGATTACTGTAGCTTTGAATTGAGGGCATGCAATGACTTCTGCTTTGTTTGTCTTTCTGAAGATTGGTTTGGTATTTGTGATTGCTTAAGGGTCCATCGTTTAAATATTATGTATTTTGTTTAAAAAATATCAAGAGTATCCTAATAAAGATTGCATTAAATCTGCAGATTGCTTAGCAAAGTATGAATATTTTAATAATACTGAGACCTCTAATCTATAAACATAGCATATCTTTCCATTTCTTTCTGTATTATTTATATATATATTGGTACTGGGGATTGAACTTGGGTCCTTGCGCTTGCAAGGCAGGCCACCAAACCACTGAGCTAAATTCCCGGCCCTATAGGGTTTATTCTGGGTATGATAGCTTTATGAGTTTTGACAAATATATAATGTAATGTATCTAGCCTTACAGTGTTACACAGTATCATGCAGAGTAGTTTCGCTTCCCCTGAAATTCTCTGCTCCACCTGTTTGTCACACCCCACCCCAGAACTCCTGGTAACCACTGATCTTTTTACTGCCTTTGTAGTTTTTCCTTTCCCAGAATGTCATGGAGTTAGTCGTACATTATCTAACATTCTCATATTAGTTTGTTTCACTTAGCCGTATGTTTTTAAGGTGCCTTCATTTTTTTTGCATGTGTGTGGCTCAACAGCTCATTTCTTTATATTGCTGAATCAAGTGTCATTTACAGATGTACCACAGTTTTTTATCTAATAATATATTGGAGAATATCTTAGTTACACATACATTTTAGAAATTAGGGATAATGCTCATATAAACATTAGTGTCCAGGGTTTTTTGTGGGCACAATATTTGAACTTTTTTGGTTAAATAACAAGGAGCACAAAGCCTGGATCATATAGTAAGAATATGTTTCACTGCATGAGAAATTGCCAAACACCCTTCCAAAATGGCTGTATTATTTTTCATTCCTACCAGCAATGAATGAGAGTTTCTGTAACTTCATATTCTCTCCAGCATTTAGGGTTCTATATATTTTTTGGTTTTTCCCTCTCTGATAGGTGCATCTCATCAGTGTCTTAATTTGCAATTCCCTAATGACATATGGTAAGCATCTTTTCATAATATCTTTGTTTCTTCTTTGGCATCTGTTCAGATATTTTGTTCATTTTTAATTGAGTTGTTTTCTTTCTATTGAGTTTTAAAAGTTTAGAAAACAGTTCTTTATCACATTGTATAAATGTTCTCTCCCAGTCTATGGTTGTCTTTTCATTCTTTTGATCTCATTTTATTTTTAACCTATGTTTTCACTTTTAGAATGGTTTTCTTTTAGACAGCATGTGTTTTGATTTTTCATATAATGTTATCTTGATCTTAATTTGTACTGAGATGATTTATATTTAATATAATTATTGTTATAGTGGAACTAAAAATTATTAATTTTTCTAGGTTTTTTCCTGTTTGTTCCATCTGTCCTTTCTTCCCTTTCTCCTCTGCTTCTGCTTACTTTTGTACTTTCTAGTTTTTAGGGTTCCATTTTATCTCCATTACTGCTTAGTTATGAGACAATAAAGCAGTTCCTCTCACCCCACAGCATACTACTGCATAATTTACTCACTGTTTATTTGCCATATTTCTTCTAACCCAGAACATCACGTATGTTTCTTTGCAAACTGTTACAAGGAAGACACAAAAGGCAATAAAGTGGTTTCAAAAGATAGAACCAACACCAGAATCAGATGTACCTATGGGAAGGGTGTTGGAGTTTTCAGGTCACAAATCTAAAACAACTGATTAATATGTTAAGGGGTGCAATGGAAAAAGTAGACAACATGCAGGAACAGAGGGTAATGTGAGCAGGATGAAAGTCTAAGGAAAGTCAAAAGGAAATTGTATAAATAAAAATACAACAGTAGAAATGAAGTACACCTTTGATATCATTTCCCTGAACATAGACAAGGCAAGAAATAATAAGCTTGAAAATATGTCAACAGAAACTTCCCAAAATGAAAAGAAAAGAGAAAAAAGATTTAAAAATATATGATCTGAAAGAACTGTCAAACATCTACAAAAAGTATAACCTCTAAATAATGGAACTATAGAAGGAACAGAAATTATGTTTGAAGTATTAATGACATAATTTTCTCCAGTTAATGTCAGACACCAAAAACCAGGTCCAAGGATCTCAGAAAATAACAAACAGGATAAAAACAAACCTATAGTTATACCATATTCAAACAGCAGAAAATCAAAGAAAAATATGTTGAAGTAAGCCAGAAGTAAAAACACACCTCACAGAAGAGTAAAGATAAATATTGTGTCTCACATATCCTCAGAAACAATGCAAAACAGAGAAGAATAAACTATTTAAGCTGTTACAAGAAGAAGATATTGCCTAAAGATGTGTTCCTTGTGAAATTATTCTTCAAAAGCTAAGGATAAATGAAGATTTCCTCAGAGAAACAAAAACTTGGGTATGCTGATGCCACTATGTCTGTCTTGCAAGAAATGTCAAATGACATTATTCAGGGAAAAAGAAAAATAAGAGAGATCAAGTAATCTGAATCTATATGAAGAAAAGCAAGGCCCTGGAAAAGGAGTCATGGAAGGTAAACAATTGCTAATTCTTGTTTGTTTTTTGGTACCGGGCATGGAACTCAGGTCCTTGCACTTGCAAGGCAAGCATGGTGTCACTGAGCCAAATCCCCGGCCCTTCTAGTTCTTAATTGTTGTAACAGATAATGTATTCAAAGTAATAATAGCAAGTGTATTCTGGTGTGTGTGTGTGTGTGCGTGTGTGTGTTATATACACACTTAGGAATAAGTGAAAAGCAATTATACAGGGACAGAAAGAAGGAATTAGGAATATTTTGCTTCAGTAAGGTACTTGGATTAAACATGAAATGGTATAGAGTTATTTGAAAGTAGACTTGGATTAGTTATAAATGTATATGTGAAACTCTTAGGCAACCAATTAAGAAAGTAAAAAAAAGGAAGTGTAATTACTATGCTAAGAAAGGAGAAATATGGAAAGCTAAAATGCTCTAGTGAAACCACAAAGAGCATAAAAGTGTGAAAGACAGAAATAGCAACAAGGGCAACAAATAGAAATCAGTAACAAATGTAGTACCTATTTTTTTTTCCTCTCATTGGGTTATTGGTACATTTTAGGTATACAGTACAGTTACATTCAGCGTTGGGATCTTGGACTGTCACATGACAGGTCTTGGTTCTCATTTTTTCCCCTTGTCCCAGCCCTTCCTTCACCCCCTCCTCCCCTCCCCATGTAATACCTACTAATGAAACTATATCAATAATTACTTTATAGTCACCTTGAAAGGTGGTTTGGTGGTTGCTCAGAAACTAAATATACTCTTACCATGAAATCCAGCAGTCCCACTCTGATATTTACCCAAATGAGTTAAAAACGTGTGCACACAGAAACCTGTACACCAATGTTTATAGCATTTGTCTCCATTTCTAAAATCTGTTTGCAAAGATAGCCTCTAGTAAGTGAATGGATAAATAGGCTGTGGTTTATCTAATAAAATAAAACATTATTCAGCAATATAAAGAAGTGAGCTGTCAAGCCATGAAAAGATATACAGAAATTTAAATGCATACTACTAAGTGAAAGATGGCCACCTGAAGAGGCTACGTATGGCTAACCACATGACATTCTGAAAGAGACGAAAACTGTAGAGCCAGGAAAAGATCAGAGAGGAGAGAGTGGGCACAGCACAGAGAATTCTAGGGCCGGGAAGCTATTGTGTATGAGGCTACGTAGATCCATTCCCTGATGTGTTTTTCAAGGCCCATAGAACGATTGATACCAAGAGTGAATCCTTGAGTAAACGATGAAGGTATAGTTACGAGTCAGTGTAGATTAAGTGATGCAGCACATACACCATTGTGGTGTGGAATTTAGTAGCAGGGGAGGTTATGCATGTATGTGAGAGATGGGATATATGGGAATTCTTTGCTCTCTGCTCAGTTTTGCTGTGAAAAAAATAGCTGTTCTAAAAATATAAAGTCTTTTAAAAAAAGATTTTCTTTCTTTAGTATTAAAGATGGTTTCATAAGGCTTAGAATCCTGAGTTCAATCCCTAGCGCCCCCTGCCCCACTCCAAAGGAAAAGAAAGATCAAAAAGTATATAATAGGCCAGGGATTTAGCTCAATGCTGCTGTCGTCTCCCTCACAAGTACAAGGTCCTGAGTTCGATCTCTGGTACAAAAAAAAAGTATATAATAAAATTAAAAATGAAAACATTCGAGGTTGATAGGTTTTTCTACTTGTTTAAAGATCTCTCTCTCTCTCTCTCTCTCTCTCTCTCTCTCTCTGTCTTCAGGGCCCACACTTTTTCTTTGAGTGCATACTTTTAAATTTCTGCCCAATTTTTATGGTTCTGCCAAAAAGTACACCTCCAAACCAAGACATCTAATCCAGCACTTTCGGCTATTGGCCATCGCTTATGAAAGGAGACAAGATTGAAAACGCCCATGGACTCCAGGTAAGCTTAATATAAGAGCTCCTCCTTCTCCTAAATCTCTGTTGCTCAAATGTGGCCAAAAGGAATTTGACATGAAGTCTCAATCGTCATTCACTTCTTCTCCATCTCAAGACCAGGTAGGACCAGCAGAGCAGCATCTCAGCTATAAAGAACAGTAAAAAATGTAACCAAGGGGTGATCTGTCAGTGAAACTTTGGGTAGAGGCTCCCAAAGACAAGTGGGAAATAAAAGGAAAGCCTGAGAATTATTAAAATCAAGATGGAATCACCTGAGTCAGTCAGGAGATTGTAAGATAATGGCTGAGGGTTCTTACTCATGTGTCTGTCAAAAACTGCCGTAAAGGACTCTGCCAAAATCGTAAGTTTACTGAGTCATTTTGAGCCTGATGCAGCAGACTTATTATTGGAGAAACAAGATCTTTAGAGGTTCACAATTGGGATCAGTTCCATAAGCACCACTGCACAGCTGCTGTATAAATTTAAACATGAGTTTCCCTTCTTGAAATGACAGCACATACCATGTCTTTCTCTTGATAATGAGAACAGGACTGGGGTACACTGTGTCTGACAGTCTGGTTGTGTGGAAGCAACACAAGGAGGGACCTGTGCCCTCTGAAACAAATGCGTGTATATTACTGACCATTCTCATAACGTGGCTTTAGCTCTGCATCAGTTGCAAACCCTTATTAAAGCTGTAAATAAATTAATGTCATCCTGCTTTTAAAAAATAAAGTTCTTACTTCATTGTCTTCTAGGTTACCTGCAGATGTCCCTCTGTAGCCGTGGAGGGGTTTTGGCAAGCACTTCACAGACACCAAAATGGGAGGGTGCACAGAACCTGTGTGCGTCCTCCTGTGTGTATTCTGAGTCATTTCTAGAACTCTCATAATACCTTATACAGTGTAAATACCGTGTAAATACTTGTTTTATTGTACAGCACACAGTGACAAGGAAAAATGTCTGTACACGCTCTGTGCAGATACAACAGTCAGCCCTAACCGGACAGTTGCAGACTGCCTGAGATAGGAGGCAGACAGGGCTCTGACAAGAAGCGCCATGGAGATAGAATCTGTGCTGGAGGCTGTGGGGCGGAGCCTCCTTTGCAGGATTCAGCATAATGCTTGGCGCGGGGATCTGGATGGCTTGCTTTTCAAAACTTTGTGCAGCTTTTCGTTCCTTGACTGTTTTCCATCTCCATTTGAATTAGACAGATGGAGCCTGTAGATACAGAGTTGATGGTATTTTCTGCACGTCTGCTGTAATTCATAGTTGTTTCTTTGTGTATATTTCTCTTGTTACCTTCAAGATTTTCTCTTTTCTTCATTTCTCAGTGCTTTGAGTCTGACGTGTATCAGTGTGATTTTGAGAGCTAGAAAAGGTGTTTCTGTTGTTTGTTATTTTTAAGCTTCTTGAATCCATAGTTTATATTTTTCATCATTTTCTGAAAACTCTGGACTAATCACTTTTTCAGTATTTCTGAAATATGTTTCCTCCTTCTGGAATTCTAATTATATATATATATTTCAGAACATTCGATATTGTCTCACAATTCCTGGGTGCTGTGTTTATATTTTTCACCCCACTCTTTTATGTTTGTGTTTCAATCTGAGTATTTTTTGTTGCTCTATCTCTGATTTCTCTGATTCTTTCCTTGGCTGTTGTTTTACTCTGTGCCATTATAATGAAATGGTTGTGACTGGGTAATTTATAAATAATAGAAATTTATTTCTCACAGTTCTGGAGACTGGAAGTCCCGAGATCAAGGTGCCAGGGGCTCATTCTCTGCTTCCTAGATGGTACCTTGAACATTGGGTCCTCACATGGTGAAAAGGGTGGAAGGGCAAAAAGAACCTAGCTAGTTCCCTCTATCGCCTTGTAAAGTCACTGATCCTATCCTGATAGCTCCACCTTCATGACTTGCTCTTGAAGGCCCCAGATCTTGATATTATCACATTGGGTGTTAGGTTACCACATATAAATTTTGGAGAAAGATTCAGACTGTATAGCTGTGTTTATTCTATAGTGGGCGTGTCAGAGGTACTCTTCAGCTCTCTCTAAGCATTTCCATTTGACTCTTTTTCATATTTCTTCTGAACTTTCCCACTGTGTATATATAATTCACTCAAGAATTGACCTCATCTAGCACAAATACACTAAATTCCTTGTTGAATAGTCCCAATATCTGGGTCATCCCTGAGTTAATCCACCCCCCCACCCACCCCCACACCTTATAGGAGAAACAGGAAGTTACCTGGCCCCAGGTCATTGCAGGTGTTCTACCTCTGGGTGGGGTGTGGTAATATACTCTCTCTTGCCTAGGAGCCACCAAGATACAAGGGAAATTTTGTGTGTTGTGGAGAGTAGTGTCAGGATGGCTGAGAGATCCCCTGGGACAGATGGCAAGTCCTTTTGAATGCCCAGTGAAGAATTTCACAAGGGGTACACAGGTGTGAATCTCCCTTGTGTATGGAACTTCCAGGAATTCCACACTCTGAATTTAGCCTATGCTTTGCCTTTAGCAGTACATTTAAACATTTTATGCACATTGTTCTCCCTGCTTCTGTGGTGCCCAGTGTCTCTTCCTTTGTGTTCTTCTACAAGTGAACCATGGTCGGGCTCATTGGTAGTACTGTCTTTCCTTACACTTTAGAATTTTCAATTTTAGGACCCCAGCTCTCTAATGAGCTCAGGAAAAGATGATTTTGTAATTTATCCGGCTATTGTCATTGTAATTAGGGTGTGAGCAATATTTTTCCCGGCTTTCTACATCCTGGAATTCTTCTTCGTATTTTAGGAAAAAATTTCCATAATCCAACCCATATGATTTTATATGCAAAATCCTATCCATGTTAGCTTTTATTGATTTCAATTTTTAATTTCCCCTGACTCGAAGTTATGTGGAAAGTGATTGTTTTAAAAAAAGTTCAAGGTGCTTAAGATTTTCATTAAACCTTTTTTCTTTATTTCTGTTATAACATTATATGGGGCAATATATGGGCAATGAAATTCCTGCTCTGGGATTTGGGGGTGGGTATTAAGGATTGAACTCAGGGCCCTTGCACTGAGGTACATCCCCCAACCCTTTTTCTTTCTTCTTTTGTTTTTTAGAGGCAGTGTTTTGACAAGTTGCCCAGCCTGGGCTTGAACTTGTGATCTTTCTGCCTCAGCTTCCCAAAGTACTGAGATCCCAGGCATTCACTACTATGTCTGTTTGTATGACTTTCTGAGCTGAATGCATATTCATTATTTATATGACAATCATTTTAATACCTCTAATAATCAGGTTTATTAATTATTAATAAAAATCAAATTATCTACAACCTCAATTTATTTTTCTGCCTGGTCTATTAACAATTCCAAAGTAATATCTTAAAGGTGTCCATTATGTCTATAGTTTTTGCCAATTTTGTACTCAGTTGTTTTTTTATTATCTTAGTTATGCTGAAAGCTATTCAGCCAAGAAATATTTATGAATGTCTTTATTTTGGAGTATCATGACAAAATAGTCTAATTCCAGTCATTTTTCTGCTACTGATTCTGATTGCTTCTTATCTTTGCCTATCTATTTTTAATCTATCATATCTCCATATTTACTGCTAAAACCCAAATTACCATCATCCTTGCCTAGACTCTAATGAAATAGTGCCCAATTTGTTTTCTGCTGCTACTATCTGCTATGACAATCCATTCTCACTCAGCAGCCAAAGCTCTCTCATGCCTCCTCATACTTAGATTTCTTATCATGCCTGATGTTACGTAATCCACACCCACCTGACCTCCCTAACCTCATCTCCAGCTCTCCCCTTGCTCACAGTGTTGTAGCCATACTGACTTGGTATCTTTTCCTTCCCCATGCAATGCTTTTGCCTCTGAGCCTTTCCACTTGTTAGTCCTTCTCCCTGGAAGGCACCATCTCCTGATGAATGCCTTCTTTTCACACACAACCAGTTGCCCTTGTTACCTCCTCAAATAAGCCTCCTCTGGCTGCCCAGCCTACAGTAGAACAGTCTGTCAGCAAGTCACCCTGTTATATTTTTCCTTTAGAATGTTTACCCATATCTAAAAAACTCTTATATATGAAGCCTTGTGTGAGTGGCTGACTGCTGTGTGCTTGGCATCTGGGACCCTGCACACCTCAGGAAATTCTCTTCAGCCTCCAGGTCATCGTCCAATCAGTTCTCCCTTCTAAATGTCTTTTACCTCAGCTGAACTTACTTCCTTGATCTCAGTTTTCTTCTTGTGGTTTTCCTTCAGTTTGTTGGAGAATTTCTCTCAAGCTTGCCTACTAATTCTTTTTACTGTATTATATAGCCTGCTATTCACTGCTTTCATTGGGATTTTAAAACTGCAGTTCTGCAGTCAATCTTTTTCTCTGCAGACATTTTTTCTTGACGATTCTGTCCCTCTTGGCACAACATCTGTTTGAATTATATTGGAAAACTATTCCTCCTTCTTTTGAATTGCTAAATGTTTTATTTGATTTTCATTACAGGAGGTCTGGGTTTGCCCTGCCCTGGGCATTGTGGTGGGCTTTGCTGTGAATCCTGCCTGGCCTTGAATGCTTACAGATTCTAGGTCTGCGTGAATGTTGTGGGGACTGGGGGCTGTGGTGAGAAGAGAAGGGTCTGAAACAGGGAATAAAGAGATTGAACTGATGACTGGTCCAGCTGTGTCTGCAGGTGGAATAAGTGTACTAATAAAGTAGAACCTCCTCTCAGTTATCTGTATCACCTCGGGCAGGAACACTTACCACTTTTTCTGATGATGAGTTCATTCGCAGAAGACTTATTTGAACCACAGTATATTAGTTACTTTTCTCTCATCATTGAGACAAAATACCTGACACCCAAAGTTAAAGGGGTAGAGGTTAATTTGGCTCACAGTTCATAGAGGTTTCAGTCTACAGTCAGCTGGCTCCAAAACAGGGATGGCAAACAGGCATCACAGAGGAAAAGCAACATGGTGGGCACAGGCAGCAAACGTACAAGAGGGTTTCAGTTC